ATGATTAAATGTTTCATTTATTATTTTTTATAGATAATATAAATTTGATATATAATTTATAAGTTCAAGGTTTTCAAAAAAAAAAAACCTAAATTATAACTTGAGTAAATCAAAACCACTTTTTTCTTGTTGGGTGTATAAGAATATTATGTGCTTGTAAAAAACTAGAGGTTTGCCCTGGTATTTTTTATTGTGGGAGATGTTATTAGTAATATCATTGATTTTATAATATACATATAAGCTATAGCATAGGAGTATTTGGTGAATAAAATTATACTGTCAGCTTTTAGGTTTGCTGTGTCCRTTTACATTGTGCCTAATGTATACAGATTCTGTATATTATAAAATAAATGGTAATAATTAGGGTTGTATTTCTAAAATATGTGCCAAAATTATGGATTTTTAAAACCAAGTTAAGGTACTACAAAGAATAACCATAACACCTCTACACCACTATAGTCTGTTAAAATTAAGAAACACAGTTGACATCAAGCAGTAAACCCCCACACAGTCAATCATGTTTATACCTGTCATAGAGTATTGTAAGGTCCATGTGCACAAGTCGGCCACTAACTATATTTCTTAGCTTGAAAAGAGTATAGATGATATAGTGTAGTAGGTAAGTACACTAGTTGTCTGTATCAATATGTCTACCACATATCTAACTCTATCTATAATTGTTCCATAATAATTGCAGCCATAAATGACAATAAGGAGCTCATCAAAATAAGTATAATATAACAAAAGTTTAAAATATAAACCAAATACCTAATACAAAATTATGAATCAGTGTGTTCGTGTAGTCAGACTATTTTATTTAATCTAAGTTATCTTTTAAAATTCATCATTAATCAAAAAATAAAATTTCAAAAATGCAAAATAAAATTTTTAAATACAGTTCTTGAGTAGTTAAATTTAAACATATTTTATTGAGTAGTATATTTTTACAATATAGTAGAAATAATGATGCAAAGTAAAATAAAATATTTTAACATTAAGTGAACATTACTGTCTTGCATACATACAACATATATATTTATTTAAATATCAACGCCTTAGAGGCATTAGTACAGTACAAATTCTAATAATATTACAAAGTAAGAAAAAAAAAATAAAAAATAATGCAGATTAAATTCAAGCTAAGTAAATATTAACTGGTACAATTTCTAAGTTTATGAATTATTGATGGCAAAGAATCATATAAAATATCAATATTTGACATATAAATAGATCAACAAGTACGATCAAGAGGGGCTGCGTAACCATARTTAGTGGTGTGAAATTTAGTTTTAAAAGTTAGGGAATTTCTTAAATAAAACGAAGGAACAACTAATGATAATTTAGTTATATATCATTGTTCAATAATTTATAAATAAAGGTAACATCAAATTCAACGCGTCTATTAGTTAGACTAGTTAGAGACTAGAGATTATATAGTTTCAAGTTTAGTATAATATTGAAACTAGGAGCACAGAATGAATTCTTCTAAACACAAACTTATTAAGTTGTAAGATGTAGACTATACACGCAGCCATGTGTGTGTATTATCCTCCTGAGCTGCATTGATCTAAATGATAAATATGTTTTATTAACYAACATTATTAATTACTTATTAATATTTTATTTTTTAGCTGTTAGAGATTTTGAGCATGCACTTCATATCGATCGAGAGCATAGACCAGCAAATGAAGGACTAAAAAAAGCAAAAAACTTACAAAAACAAGCTGAAAGAAAAGATTATTATAAGATATTAAATGTAAAAAGAACTGCCACCAAACAAGAGATAATTAAAGCCTATAGGTAAGTTAATTAATGAATATTTTCGATTCAACAAGAGTAATGTTTATTTAAATACGATATATATTTTTAGAAAAGCTGCTCAACAATGGCATCCAGATAATTTCCAAGGTGAAGCTAAAAAAAATGCAGAGAAAAAGTTCATTGAAATAGCTTCTGCCAAAGAAGTTCTGACTAATCCAGGTAATGTTTGAAATTAATCAATGAAAACTGAGTACCTATAATATAATAGAAGTATTATATAATTTTTCTTAAAGTATAAAGTATAAGTTATAACTAATAATTCATTTTTCTTTGTGTAATTAGAAAAACGGGAACAATTTGACCGAGGTATTGATCCACTAGATCCTGAGTCAGGACGTCATCACCAAGACGGTTTCAATCCATTTCAACAGTTCCATCAATTCCATGGGAGCCCTTTTACATTTAAATTTAACTTTAACTAATTCATACTATGGTATAAAAATAAACATAGGTGCCATAATGAGTTTAGTTATTGTTCCATTATCTAGGGTTCAAAAGGCTGTGTCTGGTAAAGTGTAAATAGAGTACCTAATGAATAAAAAATTTCATTGTGTATAACAAAAATCGTATATTAATATATTGTACATAGTAAATTATAAACAATAACATCTAAATGCAATTGTAACATGGTAACTTATGATATATTTGAGTCTTGTAAATAAAATAGTTAAACTGACGTTTTTTCTACTGATAACATCTTCACGCTCTTCTCAATAACAATTTTAAAATTAAAAAGATCAATAGTTATTTTTAGAATATTTATTCTCTGTTTTAAGTTCATTTTATCAATGATCAATTCACKTTTATTAAATGGTTATCATGATATTTGTACACAATCCATTAGATAAAAAATATCAAATAATGTTATTAAAATAAATATATTTCAGATTTTGGTTTTTCTCTATACATCTAAAATAAATTTGTATCCATAAGTTTTTAAAATATATACTTTACTTATAGTTGTCTATTGTTAGTGAAACTATGTATCTAGTCCAATTTAAATTCTTTAGCATCATTCATGAAATACTATATCTACACATAAGCCTGTCTTGATTATTTCCATATCTATCATGGTATAACTTGAAAATCTAAATAGTAAATTTGAGTGTCATCAATATAATTATAAGAATTGCTTTAAACCAAATTTATAATTTAAATAACATTATTTAATGATGTAGATTGTTTCCTAAAAAGTAAAAATGGTCATTGACTCAATAGAAAATTATATAACACTTAATTATTTAGATATTTTTGTACATTATAATTAATAAAACTATTCACCTTGTCGCTAGTCCTATACATTTATTTGCTTATTCAAGACAACTCTCGTCCGATAATGTTTGATGTATTAAACAATTTCATTATCTTGTCATTGCACTGCAATAGTAGCTAACAAGATGTGTCATATACTCATCAAACAAGACTGAAAGTTTTTTTGCCGAATTTCTTCTATACATTTTATAGTAATAACTACTAATAAAATATACCACACTGTTTATTGTAATTTAATATTATAGCAATATTTTTTGCATGTTTGATTTTAAATAATGCAATATATTTTGGGCAAATGTAAACTCCCCTAAAAATAAAATAGTAAATTCCCCTAAAACATTTTGCTACCGGTATTACACTTACGTAAATTGCCCTAAAACATTTTACAAAAAAAATTAGAACCATTTAACGTAACCCAGAGGACACCATGTGGAGGCGGCTCTAGTTATCCTCCAAAAATATTTTATTTTTTTTTAATTGCATATAATATATTCTTTTATTTATATTTTAAAAATTATTTTTATTGATTTTATCCTGTTGATTATTTTTTGATTGAGTAATAATGGGAAACTGTTTTTATGTAATGAAATTTAGTAATTTTTTTTTCTTCATAATTTTGTATCAGCTGATTTAATAATTTTTTCCGAATATCGATAATAATATTGGTAAATACATACTTATAAAACTATTAATAGATCTCTCATGGCACACTTCAAGAGCCTTTGAATCCACACCGATTGAGAACCGCTGAGAGTTAGAATCTTATATATATGTTTTTAGGGGAATTTACGTAAACGTAATACGGTAGCAAAATATTTTAGGGGAGTTTACACAAGTGTAATATGGTAGCAAAATGTTTTTAGGAGAGTTTACATGTGCCCTATATTTTAGCTGGTTAATAATTAATATAATATTGATCATTCTATTGTAAATTATTATTAATTAGGTATATTACATATTATGTAACCTATTAGAGATATGATGAAATAATAGGCTCATTACTACCTATTGATGTAGCTGTTAACTCTTCACAAAGCTTATGAATTATGATTATTTGTAAAGATTGATTTTTTTTTATCTATTGTCTGTCTTTAATTTATTTATATTTTGTAAATTAAATATTATATTAAACGTTATTAAACACCATTAAGCATAATATTTTGATTTAAAAAATAGTAACTATATAAATTCATATAGGTAATCATGTTTTTTTTATTTTCCATTAATATTACACGCTTAAAAATAAACAAAAGAAAAATTGAACAATACTAGGTGCATTGGTACTTGGTAGGTACTAATAAAATTGAACCTAGGTAAATACAAAATAAAATAGGAAAAATATAAAAACCAAATGATCTGCTTGGATAATTTTCCTTGAAAAAAAAAAAGATAGTTAATACACATATACGTTGTTCTTGGTACAGCTTCAACAATTGAGGTTATTAACTTACAAAATATTAAGAGGACGTGATACCTGCATGTGTTGTCTGCGTCTTACAAGTGCATTATATAGTAAATTTCACGTTCAGCAGAACACGTGTAGCTCCGTTAGCTTAAAAATTWGAGTGAACTGACCTCTTATAAAATTTAAAGGTAAGATTATTATCTAGACAACCTCATTTGCTTTTTATTATATATTAAATTTAAAGCGAGTTATGAGTATTTTAAAATTGTAAATTTTTGTGCATCTTAAAATACTTGTAACTTGTTTTAAAATTTAAATATACTAAAAAGCATATGAGGTTGTCTAGATATTACATCCTCTTAAATATTAGTGGTACATATTGTTAAATACAAGGATTTTCCTAGATTAATTTGTGTTGTACAAAGTGTTTGTGAAATGAAATGGTTTTATTGATGTTGTTTTTGATTGAGCTGAGGGCTTCAAAGAAGTCATTCCTAGGCTTTTTCTAGTTTCTATATGATTTTTAAAGTATAGATGGAGGTTCTTTACAGGTTTGGCACAGAGTTGATTCTTTTCTATGCTTAAGATAAATATGAAACATCTTTGTGATTGAATCAATGAAGTTTAGCTAGTATGAGGTAGTGTTTTTGATTTCTCTGTGTTGGTTATTTGGTTTACATTGCCATCTGCTTTCMAATGAATTTGTAAAATAGGTGTTAATTCCTATAATGACCATGTGCCCCTACTTTTATTACTTATTTATTTAATTATTTACATTTTATATTTATATTTTTAATTTTAGTTATT